AACAGCTGCTTTGAAGGGTGGACTCTGTGGCATTGCACCATGCTGAGGCCCCTCCCCTCCCCAAACCCCACCTTCTCCTGGCTCCACCCTCAAAGTCTCCAGGTATTTTCCAGCCCAGACCTGGCAACCCTAGCTCATTCTCCCGTGGCAGCCATTTTGTGGTTATGCCCAGGGCTTTTTTTGTAGAAAAAGCCCAGCAGGAACTCATTAGCATAATAGGCCACACCCAACAGCAGAAACACATTAGCATATTAGGCCACACCCTGACAGCTCCTTGGGGCCCAACTGAGGGCTGCTGGGAGCAGGGGGCGGGGCTTGCTGCATGTGCCCGCCCCCTGGGCTCGGAAGCCAGGCGGAACTCTATTCCTGTGTGTTCCTGCCCCAAAATAGCCCTCGTTATACCCCACCACGCTGTGTTTTCTAGATTGTTCTCCCACCTCTCCCCCACCAAGGATCTCACAGTGGCATACTTGTTTCTGTCCCCCATTTACCCTCACAACAAATGAGTTGTTCAAAATATTTCTGCCCTCATATTCCTACAAAGGGTCGAATATGGCACACGGCAAATACGTTTAATTATACAGTTCCAATCCTAAAAAGTACTCTTCCTGGAGTACACCCCACTGAACACCGTAGGATTTACTACTGAGAAAAAATGTCTGAGTAGGATAGCACTGCAAGCTGAGGATTGCAAAGATGGGGGAGGCACTATGATGTTTTTTCCCCACAGCTGTTTCAGCTTCCCACCCCCGCACATGCTGTTCCAGAATCCCACAGCTTCAGACAGATATGGGGCAATTCTGCATTGGCTTTTCCCTCCATTGTTTTACGAAACCCACGTTGGAACAGAAATTCCCCTCTGCATGGCATGCTGCTTTCACTTCCTTTGATCATCGGATTTTATGGTAGCCTCCAGACTGCATGCTGCTTTTGCTGTCTCTGACCATCCGTTTTTATGGTACCTTCTGTGTAGATTTATGGCCATTTAGGGGTGACTTTGCAGTCAGTACAGTGCTGCCCCAGGGTATTTGAATGTAGTCTAGAGCTGCACTTTTTCTTCCCAGTTGGGAAAATGTGGAGCGAATGCCAGATGCAGAATCGCCCAAGGTCCTTGAGAAGGGATCTCCTTGCAGGCTAACCCAATATGTCTCCAATGTCTCCAGAATACACCGTGTGCAGGAAGAATGATGCGGTCTGCCCAACCTTTCCCCTTGCAGGGTTGCAGTTCGTGCATTTTGCTCCTGGTTGTGAGAGGGCGAGTTCAGACCAGCCAAGCTGTTATCCTGGAGGAACTGGAATCCTTTCTGCAAGCTCATCCCAGCTCATAGAAAGGTGCAAAATTTCCCACTTTGAGCATCCTTTTAGCTGATCTTAGCATTCATCTGAGGCTAGATGAGACGTTAGAGTCTTGCTGGCTTGGCTTCTGAGGGTTTTAAAATGAAATGTAGCCTTGGGAGGGAAGAAAATGTTTAGTTTCCCCCATCGGGTCCTTTTCCTTATCAAAATTACCCTGCTCAGCAGCTTTCCTTCCTGTGAGGGCATGTGAGAAAGAAGATGCAGCCCTCTCTAGCTGTTTTGAGCTTCATGCTTTACAAGTGGCAATCTCTTGGAGGCCCAGGTAGCAGCCACTGCCAAGTCAGCCTTTTACAATCTTCCTTGAACAGAGCGACTTGGCAACAGTGATCCATGCGATGGTCACCTCGAGATTAGACTACAGTAATGCTGTCTACATGGGGCTGCCCTTGTCCCAAATCCAAAAGCTACAGCTGGTGCAGAATGCTGCAGCAAGGCTTCTGATGGGTCTCCCCATGCGGGAGCACATCCAGCCAGTGCTAAAAGCACCACACTGGCTGCTGATAGCATACTGAATTCGCTTCAAGGTGCTGGTTCTCACCTTTATGGTCTGGGGCCTACATACCTGAGGGACCGCCTTTCCCCACGTTTCCCAGAGAGCACTGCGTTCAGGGTCTCAAAATCGTCTGGCCCTCCTTGGTCCCAAAGATGCCAGGCTGGCCATGGCCAGGGCCTTCTCAGTGGTGGCTCCATGCTGGTGGAACGAGTTCCCAGGAGACATCAGGGCCCTGTGGGACCTTCTACAGTTCCGCAGGGCCTGCAAGATGGAGCTTTTCCACCAGGCCTTTAGTCAAGGTCAAAGATGTAGGTTATTATTTGTGAGTTGCTAACAGAATGTTTGCAGAAATTCTAGAATTGTTAGTATTGCTGATTTCAACCAGACTGGGAAGAACCTCGGTCATAAAACCTTCATGATTTAATTTCATTATATGCCATTCTTTCTCTTTTTATGTAACCATTGCCAACATAGCCACCACCAGTAACAAGAGTAGGTGCATTCAAGATGCTTTGTGTTCAGAGACCCTTTTTGTAGACAGTCAAATTCAAGAGGTCCATCAATAGCTGCCGGCCATGGCGACTGAAGGGAACCTCCATAAACAGAATAGTGAAAAGTCCAGTGGCACCTTTAAGATCAACAAATTTTATTGTAGCATAAGTTTTCAAGAGACACATTGATGCATCTGATGAAGAGAACCATGTTTCTCAAAAGCTTATGCTACAATAAAATTTGTTAGCCTTAAAGGTGCTACAGGGCTTTTTACTATTTTGCAGCAATAGACTAACACGGCTAACTTCTCTGGATCTATGTCCATATACAGAGGCAGCAAACCTCTGAAACTCAGAGCTAGGAGGCAGCATCAAGGGCACGCCTTGGCCTCTAAGCCCTGTTTGTTTGACCCTCTGTGTCAATTAGTTGGCCACTCTATGGAAGAGTACGTTGGGCTAGATGGACCACTTGTCTGATCCAGCAGTGCCTGCCAATACCATATCTGGTGCCCGTCAAGTGTCTTCAGAAACTGGATGGGGTCAGGTGGGGTTTTGATTGACTGTGCAGATTGAAATCACATTGCTTTAGTGGCAGCCACTGTTCCCTCTAAGATGAGTTAGTGTGAGCTAGGTCACAGTTTTTTAGCCTCCAGCTCACACATTTTTGCCTTAGCTCAGGAAGGATGGCTCCAGAGCAAACTAAATTATGCAGTAGCCAAATCGCTGGCTCACCACTTTAATGCCAGTAGCTCACAATGCAGGATTTTTGTTCACAAGACTCCATAGCTTAGAGGGAGCATTGGCAGCGATGGTTTTAGTCTGTCTCTCACTTCGCTTTCCGAGTGTATTGTTTACAGGACCCCTCTTCCTCCCTGCGCTTGGACTCTCTCTGGTTGAGTTTGTGTGTGGCCCCACCTCCCATGGCAGCCATCCTGTGTTTGCGCGCGCCACCCTGTGGAAGAATCCCAAAGGCATCCACAGGCTCAAAAAGGTTGGGGACCCCGATGTAAATTATAACAATAAATCATAATAAAAACAGCTGCTTTCTTTCTGCTTCAACAGTGTCCAGTGTTCCCTCTAAGCTGAGTTGGTGTGAGCTAGCTCAGAGTTTTTTAGCCTCCGGCTCACCCATTTTTGTCTCAGCTCAGGAAGGGATGGCTCCAGAGCAAACTGATTTACGCAGCAGCCAAATCGCTCACTCACAGCTTTAACCCCAGGAGCTCACAAGGCAGGATTTTTGCTCACAAGACTCCACAGCTTAGAGGGAGCACTGGCAGCACCCCAACTTGAAAATATCACTCAGTTCAAATTACCAAGAAACCTGGAAAAAAAATCAATGCGCTTTTGGGTTGAGTATTTGTAAACAGAAAGTTTGGCTGCGATCTAAAGAACACTTCCTTGGGACCAAGCTCCATTGAATAGAGTTAATGGGTTTAAATTAAGGGCGGGAAGGTACCGGCTAGATATTCGGGAAAACTTTTTGACAGTCAGAGTTGTGCAACAATGAAATCAGCTGCCCAGGGAGGTGGTGCGCTCCCCCTCACTGGCAATCTTTAAGCGGCAGCGGCCGGACAAACCCTTGTCAGGGATGCTCTAGGCCAGTGATGGCAAACCTTTTAGAGACCGAGTGCCCAAACTGCGACCAAAAACCCACTTATTTATCGCAAAGTGCCAACACGGCAATTTAACCTGAATACTGAGGTTTTACTTTAGAAAAAACAACTCTTACATCAACTTAAGATGATCCAAACAAAGTAAGGAAAGCAATCCCAAATGCTTTCATTTACTTAAAATTATTTGGCAGAGAATTCGACACTTTAATGATGGTCTGGGCCTGGCTGGGGCGATGGCACGCGTGCCCACAGAGAGGGCTCCGAGTGCCACCTCTTGCCCCCGTGCCATAGGTTCGCCACCACTGCTCTAGGCGGATCCTGCATGGAGCAGGAGGGTTGGACTAGATGGCCTGTGGGGCCCCTTCCAGCTCTGAGATTCTATGACTTGATTAGGATTCCAAGTAGACCCGGTCAGGACGTCCTCTTTTTCCATTTTACACATGCCCTAGTTTTTAAGAGGAGACATTTGGTATCTAATTTTTTTAGATTTCATATGGATTTTTCCCCCTACTAATGATTTTCTGATTTAAGACTATCACAGGGCACTGACTGCTTAAGACGACAGCAAGTGTCCTAGTTAACCTTTTAAAAATCGGAGTGACATAATGTGGTAATTACTGCTACATCAGATAAAAAATTATTTCTACAGTGGCTGAGTTTATTTTCAAACAAAATCAGTCTGACACAGTGGGCTACTCTGTTCCCATCCACTTTAATCCAACTTGGGTATTCAAATCGCCTAGGAAAGGTTTGCACATTTTTGCCAGCCTAAATGCAATGGACAACTGGATGTTTTCATTTGCCCGAAGATAATCACAACGTTGCAACTGAAAAGCACTCTCAGTTAGTGAAAAATTACATGCTAAAATGTCCAATGACTCTAAATTTGAATACATTTTCACCAATCAATTGGCACAACCCCCCTAACGGTTTCCAGTCTCCCCCCCCAATTAAAAACAAGCCCATCAACCACAAAATAAAAACCCATCAATTAATCCTTACCTTTCTGCCGTTCACAAAAAATACAAGCTCATCTGATTGTGGGAAGCAAGCCATCCTGCCGGTAGACGCTACAGCTGGAAAGAAGAAGAAGAAGAAGAAGAGATTGGATTTATACCCCGCCCTTCACTTGGAGTCTCAGAGCGGCTTACAAACTCTTCTCCCTTCCCCTCCCCACAACAGACACCCTGTGAGGTGGGTGGGGCTGAGAGAACTCTTTCGAGGACTGCTCTTTTTCAAGGACAGCTGTGCCAGAGCTTGTGACTCACCCAAGGTCACATCAGCAGGTGCAAGTGGAGGAGTGGGGAATCAAACCCGGTTCTCCCAGATTAGAGTCCGCGCACTTAAACACCAGCAAGGAAGTCAATTTCACCACTTTCTTTCAACCCAGGAGTACGTCTTGTGTTTCCCTAGAACTAAGATTAAAATGAAATCTGCAGGGAGGATCTAGGGTACAGTTAGTCAAAACCCCTCTATCTTGTTTGGTGTAGTGATTATGAGTGGGGTGGGGGACTCTAATCTGGAGAACCGAGTTTGATTCCTCACTCCTCCTCCACGTGCAGCTGCTGGGTGACTTTGGGTCAGAAACATCTCTGAGAGCTGTTCTCTGAAGAGCAGTTCTCTCAAAGCTTTCCCAGCCCCACCTACCTCCTAGGGTGCCTGTTGTGGGGAGGGGAAGGGAAGGAGATAGTAAACTGCTCTGAGACACCGAGTGACAGGCAGGGTACCAATCCAATATCTTCTTCTTCTTGCAATATTTCAGCTTCAAACAAACGTGGAATGGCTTTGGAAGCCCATATTAAGGTCCTAAAGGTTTTAAATAAGTAGCTTTTATCAGACAAATCCACAATCTCCTCCGGTCTCCAAACCTCCGTTTTTTCTACCCCCCACCTCCGTTTTTTCTATTTCCTGCCCAGTCCCTGGCCAACCTTCCAGTTCTTCACTCTCCTGACTCATAAGCTGGGGTTGCCAGCTCTGGATTGGAGAATTCCTGGAGATTTGGGGGGTGGAGCTTGCCTTGGGGAAGAGAGGGACCTCATTCCATACAGTAGAAAAGGGAGAGCCAGTTTGGTGTAGTGGTTAAGTGCACGGACTCTAATCTGGGAGAACCGGGCTTGATTCCCCACTCCTCCACTTGCAGCTGCTGGATGACCTTGGGCAAGCCGTGGTTCTGTCAGAGCTGTTCTTGAAAAAGAGCAGTTTCTGTCAAGAGCTCCCTCAGCCCCGCCTACCTCACAGGGTGTCTGTTGTAGGGAGGGGAAGGGAAAGGAGTTTGTAAGCCGCTCTGAGACTCCCTTGGGTAGTGAAGTGCGGGATACAAATCCAATCTCTTCTTTTTCTAAGAGTCCAATAGCACCTTTAAAGACTAACAAAATTTGTGGCAGGGGAGGAGCTTTCATGAGTCACTGATCACTTCTTCGGTTACAACTAGAATGTGAGTCCATCTGTCCTATATACCCTGCCACAAATTTTGAGAGTCTTTAAGGTGCTACTGGACGCTTAACTCTTTTCTACTGCTGCAGACTAACACGGCTACTGAAAAGTATGCAGACGGAGAGTGATTTCAGCAAAGCGTACTTTATTTGATCAGGAACAAGACAGCTTTGGCCGGCTCACAGGCCGGCTTATATCCGAGAAACCACCACCCAAAACACACCCCTACTCCCCTATAGGTTATTTACAGTGGCTGAGAGTCCCGTAGGCTCTCGGCCGGGAACCTAGCCCCCTGATTGGAGCGGGCTAGGATCCCCATAGTCCATTGTCTCTTGGAGCAAAGCTCAACGTTTGTCTCTGGACATGTCAGGACCGTTTGTCTCTGGACTTGTCTGGACTTGTCAGGACTGGATACATTACAGCTACCCATCTTGCTCTCTCATCCAATACAGTCTACCTTCCAAAGCGGCCAATTTCTCCAGGGGGACTGATCTCTGTAGCCTGGAGCTCAGTTGGCATTCCGGGAGATCTCCAGCCACCACCTGGAACTTGGCAACCCTACTCATGGCCCTTGTGGCCAGGAACCATGGCTCAGTAGTAGAGCCTCTGCTTGGCATGCAGAAGGTCCCAGGTTCAATCCCCGGCACCTCCAGTTAAAAGGATCAGGTAGGAGGTGGTGGGGAAAACCTCAGCCTGAGACCCTGGAGAGCTGCTGCCCATTTGAGTGAACAATACTGACTCCGATGGACCGAGGGTCTGATTCAGTATAAGGCAGCTCCATGTGTTCTATTCCTCTATTCCCGCAGAGCCTTAGACCCATTCTGCATCTAGCCTTCACTCTGTTGTTTTACCAAACCCACACTGGAACAGAAAAAGATGCGGCTCAAAACCACATTCAGATACCCCAGGCCAACACCATACTGACTGCAGAGTCACCTCTGAACGGCCGTAAATCTATGCAGACAGTACCATAAAACCAAGAGATCAGAGGAAGTTAAAGCGGCATGCAGTGCGGAGGCTACCATAAAATCTAACCATCAAAGAAAGTGAAGGCGGCATGCAATGTAGAGGGGAGCTTCTGTTCCAACGTGGGTTTGGTAAAACAAGCAGAGCGAATGCTAGACGCAGAAAGGGCCATAGACTCATTTTTGAAATGTGTGGTCAAACAGTGCCCTCTTGAGCCTGTTTTGTGCTTTGTGCATGGTCAAAGCAATGGTATTCCCAGTAGTCATGTATGGCTGCGAGAGCTGGACTATAAGGAAGGCCGAGCGCCGAAGAATAGATTCTTTTGAACTATGGTGCTGGAGAAGACTCTTGAGAGTCCCTTGGACTGCAAGAAGATCAAATCAGTCAATCCTAAAAGAAATCAACCCTGACTGTTCCCTGGAAGGTCAGATACTGAAGCTGAAGCTCAAATACTTTGGCCACCAAATGAGAAGGGAGCACTCACTGGAGAAGACCCTGATGCTGGGAAAGACTGAAGGTCAAAGAAGAAGGGGACGGCAAAGGATGAGATGGTTAAACAGTGTCATAGATGCAACGAACATGAAATTGAGTAAACTTCAGAGGACGGTGGAAGACAGGAGGGCCTGGCGTGATCTGGTCCATGGGGTCGCGAAGAGTCGGACTCGACTGTGCGACTGAACAACAACAACAAATGTAGTGGATGCAGGACAGCACACAAAAGAGGGGGGGAAATCCTAATTTCACATATATACCGATGGGGTCTGAACTACAGTGGGGACAGGCCAAGAAAAAGACCTCGGGGTTGTGGTGGGGAGCTCACAGAAAATGCTGGCTCAGTGTCTAGCCGTGATGGAAAAAGGGCAAATTCCATGGCAGCGATCATCAGGAAAAGGACTGAGGCTGAGTCCGCACACGTAGCAGTGCCTTTAATGCAGGTCCCTGGTGTGGCTCCATTTAGGCTTTTCAGTTTAGAGAAAACGATGACTGAGGGAGGCATGACAAGAGGTTTATAAAATTATGCACCACCTGGAGAAAGTGGAGAGGTCGTCTTCTTCCTCTTCCATAATACTAAACTTCAGAAGGTATCCAATACAGTTTATCAGTAGTGACTTCCAGACAGACCAAAAGACAAAACTTGATGGAATTAATAATTACACTACATAACAATACAAACTGGGATTAAATGACAGGATGGCTGGCACAGGTATGGCTGTAGTGCACACTTTGTTTCGAACAGCACACGCATGCTAGAGACAGCAGGGCAATGGCGTTACCCTCAGAAGGCTTTCTGCGGGGAGCAGAAAGCAGGTGTTTAAACAGCTGCAAGCCATTTAAACCAATCAGCTGAGCGGCGGGGCACCACTCAGATCCTTTCCACAGTAGTGAAATTCCCTGTATTGACCTTTTAAAAACTGCACGTTATGTGAAATTTCCCACAGTAGATTTTTTTTTCACCACACGCAAACCCTAAGTTTTCTTCTTACCCCACGTTTTTGGAACTCACTAAAACTGGGGATTCTGAAAATGTGAGGTAAGGAGGAGAAAACTTTGGGTTTGTGCCTGGTGGGGAAAAAAATCTACTGCAGAAAATGTCACATAATGCAGTTTTTAAAATGTCAGTGTGGGGAAATGGTCTCGGCTGTTTGGTTTAAATGGCTTGGAGCTGAACCCCAAAAAAATCCCCTTTAAACAGTAGAGCCCCACGGAACAAACTAGTCCCGTGCTCAGCTGTTTAAAGGGGCTTTCTTGGGCAGCCAGTCCCTGGGGCTTTGTCCAAGAAAGCCCCTTTAAAGAGATGAGCCACACAGAACACTTTGCTCTGCGGGGCTCAGCTGTTGAAAGGGGCTTTCTTGGGTTCAGCTACGAGCCATTTAAACCAAATAGCTGAATGGCACTCCACCGCTCAGCTGATTGGTTTAAATGGCTCAGAGCTATTTAAACACCTGCTTTTTGCTCCCTGCAGAAAGCAGGGGAGCAGAAAGCAGGGGTCACGAACCCCTACGAACCAGTTTGCAAACTAACCTCCCAGTCTGTGTAGGTTCATGCTTCGGTTCACAGTTCAGCCACCAACTGAACAGCAAAAAAAGTGGCTCATGCCCATCCCTCCTTGTGACCATGCCACTGAATTCATTATTAACTGATTTACTTACAGCATTTATAATCTGCCTTTCTTCCCAATGGAACACAAAGAGGCTGATGACACCATTCTTCTCTATTTTATCCTTACAACAACCCCGTGGGGTAGGTTAGGCTGAGAGTGCATGGCTGACCCAAGGTCACCCTGCAAGCTTCCACTGCAGAGCAGGGGATTTAAACCTGCGTCTCCCAGCCCCTGATACTCTCGGAACAGGGCAGCACACTGGTTCTCGGTTACACTACGCACTGTGAAGCTGAATAAAACCTGCTGATCCTCTGGGAAATAAAAATAGTTTTTGAACGCCTGAGGCCATGGAAAAAAACAGAAAAGTGATTCAGTACTGGAAAAGCAGTTTATTTTTGACACTTACAATGAAAGTCTCCTAAAATGGCTTACAGTTATGAAAAACCAATACAAGTGCTAATTGAAATATATTTTTAAAAGTGCTTAGTGTTAACCTGTGTTATTTCCAGGCTAAACCTGTATTTGCGAAAGGGATCTTTTGAAGCTTACTCTGGGAATGATACTTCCAGGAAAAAGAAAGGACTTGGACACCAAGTTCATAAATTTTATGGGATTTTATTAGTACGTAAGATCTAACAAAGATTTTGTCTTTTAATCACATGCAGAATTCCCAGACTATACCCCAGCACAGAAAAATAGATTGAGAGCATGTAGCTTCGCTTACCCTAAAATATCCTTGCCTATATTGAAGCGTTGATTTTGCTTAAAACAGCATAAAGCGTAAGAAGCATAAAGCATAAAAAGCAACATAAGAACACAGTAAGCAGCAGGTGAATCTCAACAGTGCGAAAAAGATAGTGGAGCTCATTCAAAGGTGGCCCAAAGGAGGCTTGGTAGGAAAAGGCCTTGCTACCATGATGTTTTCCTTCAGATGAATAACTAAAATGCCTGGTATTTGAAGACGTGTGCATGCACACGAAAGCTCATGCCTTGAATAAACCTTTGTTGGTCTTAAAGGTGCCACACTGGGACTCTACATTTGTTCTACTGCTTCAGACCAACACGGCTGCCCACCTGGAACTACCTGAAAGATAGGAAGCGAGGGAGAGAGGCTCTGGATCCTCTCTGCCTGACTCCCATTGGCTATTCCCCTATTCTTATACTCTATTGGGCTCGTCCGTCCACTTTTCTAACCCAATCAGAATTCTTACAACTACCTTTGGATTTCTACCAACTTGGCGACATATTATTGGCAAAAACTATATGGTTATGGGAAACACGCGTGTCCTGTCCAGGTTTCCTCTTGCCAAAGACACCCCGACTCTACTGGGTCAAGTTGGCCTGTGCTGGAACCGTTCCTAAACCCACTTCTGCTCTGGCCCAGTGCTGTCGACGTGGCCTGTCTCCTCCTGACAGCATCCAATTTAGAATCGAACCTTCTGTGACAATCATTCTTCTTTATTGCTTCGTTTCCCCCAAAACCATCCCTTCAGGAGCACCTGATTACTAGCAGTAATGGACACTATAGCGTATACTATATATGTAAGTCTGTGCTATATGCAGGGATGTATAGATGTCTAGCATTAATCTGCATGGCACAGCACAGCTTCGTGATTCATAGTTACATGTAAGTAGGATTCAAAATACATCATCGAGCAATTTCAAACGCAGAAGGCTGAGAAAGAGGCCTGTGTGCCATTCTGCTTTGGTCAGTGTTCAAATCTGTCCGCAAACCTTCGCCTCCTGCTTTGCTGTTCAAACGCCATCAACTGTCTGGTCATGAAGACTTTTAGAGAAACCTAGACCCCGTTCACACGGAGAAGTTGCCACGCTAAAGATACAAATGTCAGGCGGATTTTTGGTGCGCATTCACCACCGTAACATCTGGGAAGCGTAGCACACCCGTGGCCAACCCGTGGCATCCCGCCAAAGATGCGCAGTAAAAAACTACCTCAGAAAGTGCACTAGTATCCAGAAAACGCGGGGCGGGGTGGGCGTCTGATCGCGGGAGCGCTAGTATCCCGTGGCATCCGGCGCCCGTCCACATCCCGTCGCAAACCGGATTTCGTAAGCGCATGTGCACAAACATGTAACTGAAAGCAGTGCTGCTCCGCAGAACTGCGCATGTGCACAAATGCGAAACGCTTGCCGCACCGCTTCTTTGCCACGCTCCAGCATCGCTGTGAGATCATCAGCTAACAGCCTAAGTGTGAGGCCTCGGGGGACCGTGTGATCAGGCTACCGCCCTTTATTTTGCTCCGGGGCGAACAGCCACACTTCCCCCCATGTTATCTGGCCCATGTGACCGGGGCTCTAAATTCATTTCCTATGAAAAAGCTTTTATTTTATTTTATTTCCCCATTCTGTGTGAAAACAGGGGCTTTCCTTTGGAACTCTCTTTAAAAGTTTGAAATCTACCTCAGCTGGCAACGGTTTCTCTCTCTCTGGCCCGGTTCCTGATGCTGAGGTAAGTTGGCATTGTGAATCCGGCTCATCGTGAACCTGTCCTTGCTTCCCAGAGAGCCCGTCTGGTTTCTGTTAGGAAAATTAAGCGGCAATTAAGCTATTACGATGACTTAAGTGAGGTTCCTTTGGCCTCCTACATTTCTCTGTCCATCTCCTCAAGGTGCTTGTTGAGATCTTTAAGGTGCGTTAGCAATGTATGCATATAAAACTTATCATTCCCATTATTCCCAGCCTCAAACCCCCCACCCCACTTCCCTTGTTATGGGCTTTTGGCAGCGATTCCTGTTGCTTGCATATCTCAGACTGGGTTGTTTGCAAGAGCTGCCTGGGGAGGTGGTGAATCAGCTGCCTCGGGAAGTGGTGCGCTCCCCCTCCCTGGCAGTTCTTGAAGCAGCGGCTGGACAAACACTTGTCAGGGATGCTCTAGGGCCCCTTCCAACGCTGTGATTCTGTGATAACTTCACGGTCGTCTTAATCTCAGGTCCTAGCCAATACCTATATTGGTTTTTGCCTGGACGGAACAGCAGAAAGTTTCACTCCGTTTCTCTTTTGAAAATGGCTTCTATTATTTTAAAAATGGCTTTAGGTCTGTCTCGTTGGTTTTAGGCCTTCCTTAGGCTAACATTAGAGGAGCTGCGGTGGCTCAAGTGGTTAAGACGCTGAACTGCAGGCTGTGGAAAGTCGGTAGTTCAGCAGTTCGAGACCCGAGCGTGCCGCATGATGGAGTGAGCTCCCGTCTCTAGTTCCAGCTCCTGCCAACCTCGCAGTTCGAAAGCAAGAAATTGCAAGTAGATAAATAGGTACCTCTTCGGTGGGAAGGTAACAGTGTTCCGTGCACCTTGGTGTTTAGTCATGCCGGCCACATGACCACGGAAACGTCTTCGGACAGCGCTGGCTCTTCGGCTTGGAAATGGAGATGAGCACCACAACCCTAGAGTCAGACTCGACTGGCTTTCGAGCAAGGGAACCTTTGCCTTTTTAGGCTAACATTAGGGATTGGGTCTCTGTCAAGGTACAATGAAAGGGTACTTGGCTGCTGCCCCTTCTGCATGATGGCTTCAGTGATGACAGCTTCCGGGGGTGGGGAATCTTTAGTTAGTGCTGATTCCTGGCACAAGGGGTGGGTGGCAACTCAAGCTGCAGTCTATGATTACAACCCAAAAGAAATCGGAGCCCTAAAATTGAAAACATTAAGTAATATTACCTGTTGGGATTACCACTGGCCACACCCACATTCAACAGACGTCAATACTCGCTACCTTTAAGGCTTCAAATTATAGCTCCAGCACCCTGAATATAGCGCAGTAGCAGAAGTAGTCTCGTTTTTCCCACATGAAAGGATTTGTAGGATATTCTGGCGAGACGACTTCATCAGTGTAATCTACAAATCTTTCCGTGCTCTTGGTTTTCATCCCTTGGTCTCTTCAACTTCTGAAAAGATAGTTACGACTTAACACCCAGCCCTGAGGTGACTTCAGTAACAATCCGTGTTAAAGGCGTCTATGATGCACCGTGCTATTCTCCCTTGAACATAGTTTTTTTATCACTCAGCAAGCTGTATAATAACTGTCTCATATTCCAGAGGCGTTGGATGAATATTCCCACTACTGCAGACCTTTGTATACCATGGGAGCTAATGAAACCCTCCCCAAAGTCTATGCAAACTTCTGAGATATATTGAGGTCGTAACCAAAGCCAACAAAGCAGAAAGTAAGTCAATTTGAAGCACAGCATCAAATTATAGGAAGCCAGCGGCATCCAATGGAGGGGACTGGGGAGCAGGGATGTGTTGACATAATGATCCTAGACCGCAAGGTGTGAAATTAGGATTGCCAACTCCAGGTAGTGAAATTCCTGGAGATTCGGTGGCAGAGCCCGGGGAGGGTGATCCTAGACCGCAGGGTGTGAAATTAGAATTGCCAACTCCAGGTAGTGAAATTCCTGGAGATTCGGTGGCAGAGCCCGGGGAGGGTGATCCTAGACCGCAGGGTGTGAAATTAGAATTGCCAACTCCAGGTAGTGAAATTCCTGGAGATTCGGTGGCAGAGCCCGGGGAGGGTGATCCTAGACCGCAGGGTGTGAAATTAGAATTGCCAACTCCAGGTAGTGAAATTCCTGGAGATTCGGTGGCAGAGCCCGGGGAGGGTGGAGCTTGGGGAGGGAACTCAGCAAGGATCTGAGTCCGATGCCAGAGTCTGCCCCCCGAAGCTGCCATTTTCTCCAGGGAAACTGATCTCTGCAGTCTGGAGATCAGCCGTAATTGCAGGTGAACTCTGGGGCCCACCTGGAGGTTGGCAACTCTACGTTCATCTCAACACTGCCCAGGGGTGTTCTAGATGTAGCTGCTGTGTGCAGGGTAGCCACGTAGTATTTTTAACATCTAGTTTCCCCCGAGAGAAGCAAGGAAATGCAGGGGAGGAGACAGAACGAGTGAGGAGGTGGAGAATTAAGGAACCCATGGCAAAATGGAGACGGGAGGACCTAAGAGGATGAACGTGTGGGTGAGGAGAATCAACAGGCAAAGAAATGAGGAAGGAGATCAGGATGCAATAATGGGTTTAAATTGAGAGCAGGGAGGTACCGGCTGGTTAGTAGGGAAAATGTTTTGACAGTCAAAGGCCACGATCAGACGTGCCGGGAAACGCGGGGGAGGAAGCGCGGCTATTTGCGCCATCGCGTTCTGATGCGCCATTATGCGATCAGACGCGATGGCGGCTTCCCCGCGGCAAAGAGGGCGACGGGGGAGAAAGCCGTGCGCCAGTGTGATCACACCCAGGAAGTCCGCATGCAGCCCGTGGCAAACTATTTGCCAGTAGGTCGTCCCAGGTACTTTTTTAATGCACATCTTTGGTGGGACGCCACGGGTTCGCCACGCCTCCCAGATGTTCCGGTGTGATCGCGCCCAGAAAATCCATGGGACGATCGTGCCTTCAGCGCAGCACATGCTCCGTGTGAACGGGGCCAGAGTTGTGCCACAGTGGAATCAGCTGCTTGGAGAGGTGGTGAGCTCCCCCTCCCTGGCAGTCTTTAAGCAGCGGCTGGACAAACCCTCGTCAGGGATGATCTAGGCTGATCCCGCATGGAGCAGGAGGGTTGGACTAGATGGCCTGCACGGCCCCTTCCAACTCTGTGATTCTAGGATTTGCTAAAGTGGACACAGATTGGGACTAAGGTGGGCGAATTTAATATATCGTTTCGAAATAACCAAGTCACCAAATCTTTGCCTTTGTATCAACAATGGATGATCCAATTCAAGTCACCGGACCTTAAAGTATAATTCTTTAGCAACATATTATTTGAAAGTGCAGAACACAGACTCTCTTGAGACTGAACACACAGCTTGTGATCAGTGTTCCCTCTAAACTGAGTGAGTGTGAGCTAGCTCACAGTTCTTTAGCCTCCGGCTCACACATTTTTGTCTCAGCTCAGGAAGGAGGGCTCCAGGGCAAACTAATTTATGCAGTAGCCAAATTGCTCGCTCACAACTTTAATGCCAGCAGCTCACCTAGTAGAATTTTTGCTCACAAGACTCCACAGCTTAGAGGGAGCCTTGCTTGTGATACACCCCCCCCCCCCATGAAAGTAAGCA